TGGTTAAGGATTATTTATATAGGTTTATATATTATATTGGTTATCTTTGTGTATCATATCATATTAAGTATATATTTTTTATATTACAATATAGGTCATTAGTAATGGAGCTCTGTATGCAATCGCCATTTTACCACATGTAATAAAATATAATATATAAAAAAATGTAGGGTATAAATTCATATTTTTATTACTCAATTTTGCACAGTAAGTATTTGCACAAGGGTTCTTTGATAAACATGTTCTCTGTCTAGCTTGATTAATATTACGTTTACAAGCTTCGTGAAGGCAAACAAAGAAAACGTAATCCGAAAACAGATTGTTTTTTTACATTATTGCTCCTTGAATGCTGCGAAATACTGCGAATAATAATATTTTATGAGAATATAACTTCGACTGTTTAGCTTATATTCACCCTAAGAGCTTATTTATATTATGCATGTAACATTTAATGGAAGATCTTCGTTTTATTGCTTTGAATTTTCCCTTGAGTATTGATTTTTTTTGAATAAGTAAACAGGACGCCTAGGTGGTCTAGCGGTTTAGCACTATACCTTATTTCAAATATCTGTAATTTATTTAAACATTTACATTCATGAGTATGATGGATTGGATGGATGGAGTGGGTATTTTTTGGAAGAAATTTGTAACATTGAAGTCATAGACCAGGCACTACACAAAAGCTTGTTGAATATTTCGGATACTCGAAAATTTTAAATATTGTGTCCTTTGTTTTGTTTTGACTATACGTTGTATGTCTTTTAGAACTAATTTCCCATTAGCTTCTGGTTTACTAAAAGAACAATCTTCCATTTTTCATAATAAATCAGGTATAATTTACAATTTACATTAGTTTAATCAAGATCAATAATGCAATGTTTTCTGAACCCTCTGTCTCCTCTGTCTGAATTCCTCATTTTGTGGGTTATTAAATTACCTAAGTCTTAGATATTTATCGTCCTAAATTTATGTACGAAATTGTTTTGAATTACGTATACCAGACATGTACTATAGTTTTTCAATTTTTACTGTACTAATTAATGTAATAGTTTCCGGTATTAATAGGGTTAATTCACTGTTACATATTAAATTTCATAAATTTAAGGCGTAATTAGAACAATTGTATTTAATTTAGTTAATTTACTTTATTATTATTCTGCCAATGACTTACACATTGAATCCTACAATTTTATAAACAGCATGTATTTTAGAACTGAATAATTAATTTACGATCATAAGATAATTGTTTAAAAAATATAAACAATTCTTAAAACACAATCATAATGTTGGTATTGTTACAAAAATAAAAACTTATAAATACCTACGATATGCTCGGTATACTATATAAATCAGTATATAGGTATATACATACAATAATATTGTAAAATCTCAATAAAAATATGAATTACCTATTCTGATAGGTAATTAATAATACACAGTCTTTTTACAGAACAAACAAATAATTAATTTTCTTTACTTGTAACGATTATAAGATTTTAAGTCTAAGAATTGGAACTAAGTTTCCGGAAATATTGTATAATATTGTCGCTAACTTTATTTATAATTTATTTTATAAAGTTGAGGAATAAGAAAATTTAATCCTATTAAGGTACTTCTTAGTAGAGGTACGAGAGGTGTTTGGAGATTTTATTTTGTGGGGTTTGTTGCTCTAAAGTTAATTCAATGTTTAGCTACTACAAGTCTTGATCAGAAACTATATAAAGTTTGTATGATAAATCGATTTTAGTAGAAGTAAATATACTAAGTGGAGTTGAAATTTAGTAATCGTTTATGGTTGAATAGGCTAACGAGGACGGTAATATCGGTAAGACAATTTGTTTACTTTATTAGAGGCTCGTACATGAGGATAATTAGATGAGTAGAGGATTAAGGAACTACCTATATTGGATTAGTAAATATGGATGTATCATAAAACTAATAAGGCAGAGAACATAAGAAAGATAACCACCTGTATCTTGTAAATATTTTTTAACTGCTACTTAGTGCTGAAATTGATCAGTTTCCACAACAATAAAATACACAAAAACAAACACTGGTCAGTAGAATTACAAACTCTGTTTAAATAGAATAAAATATGTGGGTTATGTATTTTTTTACTTATTTACAATACAACAGTTTACAAAGGGAACAGGAATAAAAAAACAAAGTTATTTGCGCAATGTAAAAGTAGAGCACGTTTATTATTGCGAACTGTGTTTGTAAAAATTAAACGGTTTGGTATTCATTAAGAGAAGTTCCCTACTTTTATATAGGTCATTGTAGTTTGCCATCTTGTTCTCGTGAAATTACAATATGTAGAACTTAAATTATTTAAAGAAGAGATTGTAAGCCTAGAAATGCTAATGGAAATAATTTATGACTCATAATTATATTAACAACACATTGAACCTAAACGTATTTAAAAAAGCTACATGTTGTACTTTCTACTTAAAAATGTTATGTATGAGGATTTACAACATTTTTTAAGTTTACATAACTAGTATATATATACTATATAGACTACGATTTTGTAAGATTATCATTCATCTTTTCTCTTTATTCTGCTATGAAACTGTAAAATGCATAGAATACTCTCCAAGCATTCAGAATCTCATTAAAATACTTATTATCTTTGTTTGATTAACCCTACATGTATTTTACATATAAATTGCTGAGTACTTTTCATTTAACAAGTGCATAGTCATACTTGTTATATAGAAATTTTACACAGGTTCGTCTTCATTTAGTCTTTTGTTAACACTAATAAAACTAAGTGGCTACTTAGTTACAAGAAGTTAAACGGCCACGCATACGTTGTTATGTTTTGAAATTCTGAAAGACAATCTTACTCTGGATTGCTACTACAGATAATTTATATGATGATGAGAATCTAGTACCAAGTAGTACACTGGCTGTTTAGGTAGAACAAATAATAAAGTAGTAACATCTTAGTTAGAAGTAAGTAACAGTGTCGACGTTTGTTAATCATCTAACCCTATTCATAAAAACATTAAACCTTTAACTTTGTTTTAATGTTTATAGAATTAGGTGATATAAGCCTGTTTATTCTCAATAATTTTATACGTAGCATAGTCTGTGTTGTATAAGCCCGTGCAAAAGTAATTATAAAAATTACTGTAAATGTACGTTGCAATACATACTGTAAGTAATATATTATAAAAAAAACTAGTAGAACTGAAATTCTCCATCCATTTTTGAGGAGCTATGTTGAAAAATACTCTCGTTTGTATAACAAACGAGAGTATTTTTCAACATGTATGTGCATTGATATTATATATAATAAAAAAGGCTGTTAAATAAATGACTTTATAGTTTTATTTTAAAAGCCCTTTATGGGACACTACTGTAAAATTATTCACATAAATATATGAGTTGTATATTCATATCAAAACCGTAATATATTTACGTTACGTTTATAATGATTGTTGATTATTATGAATAATTAGACCTGCATCAGATTTAAAATGTCTAATTGAAAGTGATTTACTGTTTAATTAGGAAATAATTTATGAATTTCCTGGTTCATTACGTTAAGCGATAAACTTTAGCAATATTTGATCGCATTCAATTATGTTTATTCTGCTTTTGAAATTATCAACTAATTGGAATTTGTTAGGTCTCGCTGGCTCCAGGCAGACGGCATGCAAAAGTTTCGACAAATCTGTTATGAGGGGTAATTTCTTGAATGGTAAATAAAGGAAGAAAACAAAGGTTTACGGTTATTTACTTAGGAGATTATTCATGAACTAAGAAATGAAATAATGATGTAAATCGTGTCCCTAATAATATAGAAATTTATTTAAAGAAATGTTAATAGTTTTTTTGTATACAAATATTATAGAAAAAATATTTTTAAATAACCATGCTTAGATGAAAAATACTTATTTGTTTTTAAGTGTGTACTATTATGGTACTATTATGAATTTAATGAGTATTATTGTTATACTTATATCCTTATTATAATGCATTATATATTATTATAAATTTTGTAATTTGGAGTTTACATATTACATGTAAATGATACAACCTCACTGTAATATAGGTTAAATAAATGTGAGTTTAAAATTATTTTTACCTAACAAATCTCGGTTCGGTATTCATAGAAATACCAAGAGAGTACGTATTTTGCAATTTTCCGGACACAGCAGCTGCTCAACATTTTCAGGAAGTTCACCAATGTTATGTTGGTATAATAATGATATGCAATACCGGCTCTCTTGGATATGGGGCAATTTGAATGCTTTAAAACACCGAGGGAAGGTGTAACCTTTATAATACTACGTTGAATGTAAATTTGAAAATACTGTTTAATGTTACTTGTTTTGGTGCTACGTAACATTTTGTAACAGTATTTTTTATTATTTATGGCAAACTGGAAACAGTGAGTGATAATTGTCACTTCTCTATATTATGTGACTACTACTACTGTAAGACGTACTACTAATAGTAATATCCCTTCTCTTAATCCTGTAATTTTTACAGAATATTTGAGCAAGGCTGAGTTTGTAACGTGAACGTAAGCAGAAAATCTTATACGTTTAGTTGGTTTTGATAATGTGAGTGATGTGTCTGTCGTGAACATATTAAAAGTAAACCCTTTCAATTATACCAGACCAAGCGCCTCTTCACGTTTTTGTGCAAACGGCATTATGTTGTTGAACACGATAAAGAACCCATTAAAATTCGTTTCGAGGAATTATGCAAATAAGATTGTAAGCGCCCGCTAACAAGATAGGACGCTTGCAAAGATTGTTGCTAAACTCAATTCAGTTCGCCTGTTGCTCGCCTTTGTATTCCTTCCTACCTGTAGACGCAAATTGTATGAGGGTCCATTGCCCCAAAGGAAACAAAAAGATAAAACATATACCCACTGATTGTTTTATTATTCCAGGGCAGTGCTTTCTTTCAACTTTACTCCAAATATAGCTTCGTAGATCATTTTCAATAACTTCAAAGGGTAACGGAATGAAAGCCAAATATAGAATTTAGATTTATTTTTCAACCTAACATTGTCGTAACTTTCGTAACTTGACAGATCACCAGCTAAGTTTAACAGGTGTACTCATCTAATGAACATTGTTCATACCTCTTAAAATTATCATACAGTCAGTACCGAAAAACAATTACTCATCATTATCACGAGATTTACTTTTATCACGAAAATGCTATACTTATTATTTACTAAATTCCCTTTAATCAATTCTTTTAAGTGTTAAGAAATAAAAGTATGTATATTCACTGTTATTCTTGACTAATTATGCAATACAATACATTTTATTGTTGCTATTTGAAGTTTAACATGAAAGCATTTTAAATATTCATAAAAGTAGATTAAGGTGGAAGACAACGTTGTATAATCAAGAGATAGTACTAAATGGAAGGATAAGTTAAATACAATAATACCAGATGAACCTTATCAGAAATCTTCACAAAAGCAGTAAATTGCAGTAACAAAAGCAAAGTTTATAGCTCCAACTTTATCTTGTTCATTGAATACTAAGTAGAATAGTTTGCCCACTCGGAATGATAATACATAAATTCAAATTGCCTTCGGAAACTACCTTACGTTACAAATTTTTCACATGACTTACAACGAAAACTTAATAAAGTCTCAACAAGATTTATATCATGTATCTACCCTTCAACTCCTACAGTATACATTTAAGAGTCTACCCACAATCAACTCCACAAGCTAATACGTTAGAAATAGGAAAGGCACAGTCGAAGTATAAAATTTATTGCTGACTTCCCTAACTAGGTCTCGATCGTCACAACTAGGGCCTCGTAGTCCCGCCTCACTGAATAAGTCTAGCAGTTAGCTTTTAAAAAGAAACTTTCATTATAGCTACTTTGGCATTTGTAGTTTCTGCGCAGTGAAGTAGTTTAAGCCCAAGTTAAAAAAAGTTTCATGTAAGTGAACAATTTTGAAAATATTAATATTTACTTACAGATTTAAGTTACTTGTAGATTTGGCACGGCTAACGATACACTGCTAAAATATGAATAAAAATTCCCTTATTTTAAAATTCTCAGACCACCATTACCGACCAAGTTAATTATAATGTTCAAACTGTTTTGCATTATTGTAATTTTCATGTCTAGTCATTCTACGGTCTAATTTTATGTGCGTATTTGCCAGTTATTCATCTAAATTACGTACATGTACTGTAAGAAAATACGATTTATTTATATTCAGAAAAATATTATTTTTCATTCTAAGAGAGAGATTAATATTCAATTTACGAACGATTGGTTCTGTTTATGATATCTATAAGATTGTCAAAAATCTAGCTAGTTACAATCATTATGAGGCTACACAGTCGTTGAGTACAAATTCCTTTGGAAGTATTATCAAATAAATGTCCACAATAAAACAACAATAGGCTTTTCCATATCAATGGATGATTGATTACATTACATAAAATTCTAAATTTCAATGATTAGAAACCTGTTCTTAAGTCATAAATAAAATCTAACATTAAAATGACACACGACTATAACAATTCTATCCAGCTGAATTGTTATAACAAGTAGAAACTATTTATCACTTACTACAAACCAATATTTCGTTGAGGTTCTTCGGAAAATCTTAGAGTACCTCCTATTATTTTCTATAATTCATAAATAACGAATAAAACTTTAACAGCAAGCACCGTACTAATAAATTATTTAATAAAATTACGAAGTGAACTTAATAGCTCTCGTAGAAAATATTCCACCACAACAAATTGACTAATTCTAATTCCTATCTAATTTTATACACCTTAGCATAAATTTATTATAGTCTCTTTATAACTTAGTTGAACCGGCCGCAATTGGAAAAGTAAGACTTGGTTGAAGATTTGGAAGTAAAAAGTAGGAAACAATCACATCGAAATGTCACAGATACTTTCACTCAGTCGGTTGAAATTTATGCAACGTTAAAGTATATAGTCAAAAGATGAGTTCATTATAATCGTCACTGTATCACTGTTGCGCAACCGAGTTCAAACCTTTATCGTTCTTTGAGCACACATTATAGATGAGAGGATTAGTGAAGGGAAGAATATTTAGGTGTCACTTACAGCGAACACACTAAATATAAACTTCATGATGTTGTTGCGGCCGGCCTCGCCTGGACTAGGAGCCGCGTTCAGATAATTCTACGACGTCGTCCGTCTCCGGTCTTGCCGCATCAATCTTCCGTCTTTCAGCTATTACTATTCGTATTTTCTCTTCTTCACTAATAATTTGCTCTCCACATTCGATATTGATATGAGATTGTGGTCGTAGAAATGCATTAGTGGCCTCGCTGGTTACTGCTGATTCTGTAGACAGTCTTCGTTTGGAATTTATCCTAATACTTTGTCTTGACGATGGAACTGCAAGAAGTACGGGAGCTGGCCGTAAAAGTCTACATTCTTCACCACGCAATGAATTTCTTTTGTCAACCCGTTGTCTGCGATTGTTTGCAAAGGAATCTCGTCGAGGCGGACTACCCGGTTCCAACTCATCGATGTCGTCAGCATCAATGAACCTGGCATCTTCTTCGTACAGTGCTGCCGGAGGGTCTGAGGTAGAGTCCTGTCGACGTCGTCCAAATGCATGAGGAGATAAAGAAGCTCTTCTTGGCGGTAGCGATGTCGGCAACAAAGCATGGTGCGAGTGCAGAGTGCGCCGGCGGCGTGTAGGGGACGGTGCTGGTTGGTGTTTTGGTTCACTGTAGGTAAAATTTGCCGGTAGGGACGGTACCTTATTCAAAGGTCGCGGTGGTGATACACATTCTTCCAAAGCTCGGCACAAAGCTCTATCTTCTTCGTCATCAGCTTCTCGCTCTAATTCACGTTCTAATTCTACATCCATGTCTATTTCGTCTTCCATTTGTTTATGAGATTCTTCTAGGTGTTTCATTAAAACCTATAACAAAAGATATTTTAAGTAACGTAAAGTGTAATGCAATTAGGTATTGTATAAACCACAGTATTGATTTAGATTAACATTTGTGAAAGAAATTTTTTCATCATTCTAGTTTTAAAACGGTTATATAAAATATTTCACTGTATAAATATTTTATACTTACAGCAACAACCACATTGACAAGCACAAATTGTGCCATTAGAACAAACACCACAAAAAATATTGGTGCGATTATAGTGGATACGCAGCAATTTCGAACACAGTCTACGGAACTGTCACAATCTTCCCTGAGGGTGTCTTTCATGATACCATTCCAGTTGTCTCCAGTTGCTACCCGAAATAATGTAAGGAAAGCCATTCCAAAATTCGCAAAGTGGGCGTGTTCACCAAGACCTGAAATATATCTTAGTGTTAAACTCAGTGTGTATTTTTCAACGTACATAATACAGAATTAATATATATATTTTTCAATATTTATCACAATTAATAAAAATTGAATAATATAAACAATATAATATTAACATAGAAGTAAGAACTTACCTTGACATGGAATTTCATCAGAGCACTCCAATCGTCCAAATAGCTCTACGCCTAATGCGGCAAAAATGAAAAAAAGTAGAAAAAACAAAAGACCTAAGTTCCCAACTTGTGGTAATGCTTGCATTACCGTATCCAGCAATGCTCTTATACCTTTTGCCATTTTTAATAATTTTAACACTCTAGCTATTCTTAATACTCGCATAACCCTCATTATAGTCGGATTAATGGGAATTATATTTGTCTCTAACTCTTCTAAAACTATCCCAACTATAGACAACATAACAATTATAACGTCTAGTTGATTCCATTTGTCTTTTAAATATATTTTAAAACCTAGTGCCACCAGTTTCATTATAGCTTCAAGTATAAAGACTGCAGTAAAGAAATAATTGAATATTTTCAAAGCATACTCTAGAGCTGGTGGCATTTTATAATATTCTATTGCCATTGTAACTACGTTAAGGCCAATAACGCCCGCTATTGCTAAGTCGAAATATTTCGACGTGACAACGTTGTGTACAAATAGCCGCGTCTGTGAGTAGTCGGAATAATATGGTCGTTGATGCATTTCTGAAACAAAAACGCAATATAAATATGCTGTGTGAATTTTTATTTCGAAACTAGATAGCGCAATATGTCATGTAGGAAATTTTAAGATCTTATGAATGTCATTTTTTTATTGAAGGGATTATTTGGTGTTTTATTAGTACCTGTGACCTATAGGTCACACTTACGGAAATCTAGTGTGGTCGCCCTACTTTTCTCTACCATTACAATGGAAGAAAATTGTATTATTTTTTTTTAAAAAAAAAAAGAAAAAAATATTTTACAACAGAAGTCAAATATATCAATTTAAATCTAACTAAGGTATATAACAGTCAACTTTAGAAGATGAAACACAAAATTTTATCGAGCGAGCCATACTCGAAATATTCGAATGTTTACCTAACGGAACGCCATACAATATGCATTTTTTATTAACCACCTCTTTTGCAACACTGAATTCTCTCGAGCATCTTAAAATTGAGAGACTATCAAAGTACCAAGAAACAAGTAAGTTTGCAAATTTAGCTCGAACTAAGTAAAATTTATTTAGTGCTTTCGAAATGTTCAGGTCTAGACAATTTTAATAGTTATGTTTATTTATATTATTTCGCTTCTGCATAGAATATCTTTAGATGCCAATTACTTTATGCAAATTACCGAGCGTTATAATAATAATAGGAGATTGTATTATTTTTTTTTACATTACGATGGTATGATGATGGCATATACGTTAAAACCCATCTAATGATAAACGGTTACCCTAGCCTATGGACGCCTGAAATACCAGAAATTTCACGTGCGCACTGCATTACTATTTAATTTTAGTTTTTTTAAATCTGCATATTACTAACTTCTTCGCTTTTTCTCCATTTGGAGCGCTCTTTTCGCCGCTCGCCTGACCCTTTCTTCTTTCTCCTGTTCTTCTCTACAACGGTGGAAGTTCTCTACCACTACTCCTACGAACATGTTTAACACGAAGAATCCGACCAGTAGAATGAATGCAATGAAGTATAGGAGCCTCCATTCAGAATAATTCACTATTGGCTGTAAAACAATAATAAGTATCATATTATCTGAACAGAGCATAATTAACATAAACATTAATAAGTAAAGCTAATAAGAAGAATATATAGTGAAATTCCAAGAAAACCATAATATATTTATTATTCATATAATACATATAATGCATGTAATATATAAATATTATAGTACTCTGCTTATATTGCCACTAAGAGAAGACGAAGTAGATTTCATTAATGTATTTCATTAACAGAGGAGAAAACAAACAAATATTCATATATGTTTTTATGTAACTCGAATAAGGAGCTGAGGGCTTTGATAGCAAGTGGCAATCGTTATGTATGTATACATGAAAAGTGTTACGGATATTGTATCATTATGTGCACCTCTAGAAATTGCTATATCTTTAAACTTCACCCTTCAACAAAAACATAACAAAGAATTTAAAAGAAGAATCTATCTAAAAAAATCAATATATCCGTATATGAAATATAGTTTGTTCTTAAACACCATTTAAGATAATGTAATTTATGTTATATGCATGTTTCCTGTGTTATGGGAAGGTTTCTGCTGATATATTTACTAATGAATATGAATGTATGGTAATAAAACTTACTTGTTGATCCACTCCTACAGCGTCTAATCCTGTATACATTATATTAACCCAGCCGTCCCTAGAACTCAGTACGAACAGCGACATCAGTGCTTTACCGAGGTCGTCGAAATTGTACTTCCGATTCACCCATACATTTCCTTCTATCGTTAGACAGTCGGATTTGTTCTTGACATTTTTAATATTAGCCCCTTCGCAATAGAAGAACGCTCCTTTAAATAACTGAAAGCGTTAAGTATTAATGTCAAAGTTCAAGTTTGTCACAAACTTTGGACGTTTCTTATTTATTAAATAGGTGATTTAGACATATAGATACTATAGATAGACAGAGTTACTCGTCGAGTTATTATGTAGTATGTAATGCATTAGGTACATAAAAATGAAAAAACGTTTAATGTTTAACAATTTCTTGTTATAATGTAGATATTATATTCGGCAAAGAAAACTGACTTTAATTGTGACAAAATTATTATGCAATTATCATGATTATATAAGGCGTTTATAGAATTCTTCGTTATACAGAAGATATGATAAATAGGCGTGTTACACACAAATACTTTAATAGAAAACTTCCCCATTTTTTAAGTCGGTCAAAATATTAACATATCTTACCTGAACTCCCAATATGCCAAATATGATGAAAAACGTACAGCAGATGAGCACGATGTTTCCGATAGGTCGTAACGATGAGAGCAACGTTTGAACGACCAACTTTAATCCTGGAGCCCGGTTAATTACTCTCAAGGGTCTCAAAGATCGTAACAGTCTAAATACCTAGATGAAAAATAAATTTACTTTAGATTAAACTTCTTTATATCTCAATTAATAAGTAATCACGACGTTCACTGAAAAAAAAACTTACCCTGAGAATTCCGAAAATGCGGGGGCTAGACTCAGAGACTAATGACATTAACAAATCAATAATGGATATAATGACTAGTGATCCATCCATTATATTCCAACCCGACGTAAAATATGCTTCAGAGCCGTAGAACATTCCAGAGGCAACAACCTACGAAAGTATTAAAACAATTTTTATTCGAATTTTATTACTGAAATTTAAGCCGATGTAATGAAATTTAATGTACTCGTAGTATTTGGGACAGAAAAGGATATACTGGATAAAGAACAGGTGACTTTTTATTCTTTAATCAATTGATCGAATCGGAACAACCAATTCGATAAAGTAGACGTGAATAAAAGTTAGTAATATATAAAATTAAAAATTTACATATATTTCACAATCAAGCTATGTCAATTGGTGATTAGAAAGCACTATTTTAACAGCTAAAAAAATCATACTTGTATGATATTCATGTTTTGACATTCCCACAAGAATTAGCAGGTATTTGCCTATTATCTAGTTAGAAATTCTAATTATTACATTATATAGTTTTACAACTTCACCTGTATGACATACAACATAGCAATTATGAATAATATCCACTAATGGTATATCAATATTCACGCCATCAATCGTTTCCATACATAATAAATTTTATTGATTTATTATAGTTTGTGTTCTGGCTCATTGGGTCGAAAACTGTCTTTTCAGCTAACGAGCAATGATCAGCATGTTACCCGTCTATGAATTGACGTCATAAATTATGTAAGTCACTTCATATTGATTAATTTCTGAGTGTTTGAGCAACTACTGCTAGTATATGTATTATTGGTATGAGTTAGGAGAAAGTAGTTATATTTAGATTAATTTTGTGTCCTCTTATATTTATTTACTTTTGGTGTACAAAAATAAAGTGTACATACGGCGGACTTAACATCTTGCGGCGTTATCTACCAGTCAACTATGAGTGGTGCAGTGACAGATTAATTTGTATTGAAGATTATATGTAATACGGTTAACCATTTTAGCTATTAGATTGTTTTGTCGTTATTGTAACAGATATTTTCTTTATTTGAAAGAAAGTGACAAAAAATTGTTTTTTTTGAATTTAGTTTTGATACCTTGATTATTTGTGGGAAGTTTAATTCATTATGAATATATGTAAATTCATATCCAGAATCAAGTCATTTAGTCAAATTACCTCATTTCTCTTTTAAGGAAATCTATGATATTTGGTATGGTATCTATGGTTATTAGCTGTGAACATACTATCATACTACAAAACATATACCTATATTATTTCTACAGAATATTCAAAGGTATAGTTAAAATAAATAGTATTGGTTTTATTATTAATATTATTGTGATAATTAATTATTAAAATATATTTGTACAATTCATCTTTACACTACATTAAAACAGATAATATTAACATTCAATTTAATTCGATTACTAATTATAAATAGATTTTTTTAGAATCTATTAACATTAAAGAAAAGTCTGACCTTTATAAACATTTCTACTGCAAACACAGCAGTGAAAACGTAATTGGCGCTGGAGAGGAAGGCTCGTTCCTTGGAGTCTGGTGGTATATTTGGTCGTTCCATAGCAAGAGTGATGCAGTTCAATGCTATAAACAGTAGCACTATGTTGTCGAACCAGCTTCGAGTTACCATCCATGTACAAAATCTCCGCATTCTTAATAAAAAGTAATAAAAAACATTATCATAAAAGCAGAAGTTAAATTAGGAGTATTATATGTATATATATATATACGTGTATGTTAAATGGTATTATAGAATACGAACTAAAACATTTGATATCATGAATACATTGAATAAACCTTCCATAATGAAATTAAATTTGGGCAAATATTAATGAAATGAATATCATTTACACAATGAGTAAATGATATTATATATAACTTCGATTTAATAACTATTTCATTTCGATTCGATTGCCGCAAATGTAAATCTGCTTATATAATTCATGATTGAATTAAATGTACTATGCATATTATGAATTCATTCGTCTATTAGGACTACATTTTCAACTGCAGAGCTTCGAGATTTTAACGTAATGTATTACATTATTATTAAGATTGATGATTGACAAAGTTTGTATGTTAGAAATATGAATAATGAAAAATTGGGTTGTTTGTAATTACATCGAGTTGAATGTAAATAAACGTGGGCACATTTATAAGATCGATCACTGAAAGCTTCCGCGAGTAATGTAATATCTATTTGTGTTTTTATTATGATGGATTACAAAAGAGAATACATAGTATCCCATAAGAGATATACTTCTTATATTTTACGGTATCGACGTCACTAATATCAGGCAATATCGAATATAATATACATATTAAAATAACTCACTTATTGTCCGGAGAAAACATGTAGAGGGAGTAATCTTCCACTTCCTTTAGACATCCTGTTGGTTCCATGAATCGGAAAAGATCTTTGAATCTAAAACGTCTTCTATCAAATCGTCTTGATAGTATGCAAATGTTATTGTTAATTGCAACCTGCAAAATATGAACTATAGTTTAAACTTCTATGGCGATAAATTATGTGGTTGGTAATTTCTGCGTGTCTGAATAGCCGTTTTCCTGAACTATAATATAATAAAGATTTACTTCTTTATGTGGCACACCGGGTAAATGTAGCCTATTATGGTAAAGAAAAAATAATAGACTAGTAAATATATACTATTCAGGTGAGTTATACAAATGAAAAATTATTATGATTCGTGCGTGACATATCGCGTTGAGACTCCTAGATTTTAGTTCATATTCGTGTAAAATAATAATATCATATAAGCGAGTATTCAATTTATTTTTGGGATATCATTCATATTTTAACTTTATCCCATACTGCAAAGCCTATTACATAGTTATTTTTATAATCTGGAATACCTCTTCGTTAATTTGTTTGATCAAAGGCAGTGATTGGTTGTTCGGTCTGGCGGCCAATGTTGGTTCACTGCGGGGTGTCCTCGTGGTTACTTGGGCAACTTGCGGTGTAAGTGGCGTTAGGTTGCTTGCTTTTACTTCCGATACTGACGTCACTGTATTATTAACAATGTTAAATTAATAGTTAATTAGAGCCAAGCTTAACTTATTGTAAGTTACCTGAAAGATTACGTTTTAGAACAAAATTATATTTTATATTAAACAGTACTGAATTTGAAAACATAAATATAACAAAAAAAATAAATTGATATATTACTCTAAATAAATCTAAATTATTTGGTTTTTTAAGTGTATAATAACAATAATCATAACATCAAGGACATATTACAACCTATAACTACAGCAGTATTGTAATTCTGCATTAAAAGTACAACACAGTATTGTTATTTTCAATGAACTGAGAAAACTGTCTTCTCTATTTTGTCGTTAATTTATTCTTGTATTTGTTAATGAAGCTGCGGAATATATATACTATTATAATATAAACAACAACTGGATACTATTAATTTGGCATGTTAGATTCTTGTGAAGTGTGTGATTTATAAATCATTAATTACTCCACCCTGTAAACAGTTTTTCGGGCAATATAAATATATTTGTATTTGTTTTACCCTAAATACAAATCTCACGTTGACTAACAAAAATATTTGTATGATTTTGATTGTGCCAGAGTTAGGTAAACGCGATACTCAATTTTTGCATTTGCATTATACAGCAATTTTTGAAAGACAAACAAAGTGTATAAGCACACGCGTATCGTATACAAAGTTAAATAAAACTTATGTATTGTTCAGCACAATATAACTGATTCTACGAAATATTCATGTGTTTAATAAATTTTGGCTTTCCTATATTAAAACTTGTAAATTAACATAAACGAATATATACCGTAACAATATATATTACAGAAAAGAATAAAATACAAATCTATAATTTGGTTTACGTTTACTATTTTGGAAATTTAGTCGAATTTTAAGTAGAAGCTAGAAAGTATTTCAAAATGTATCATATTTCTCTGTGTCAATAATTATAAAATCACAGTACTCTATATATTCTCGATATTAAAATAAAACAATAATTTTTCATCAGCGTCCAACGACCAATTGACAAGTGAAGAGAAAGTGTCTTCTAAAATATAAATTATGTTAAATTTGACTTTTGATTTTGAGGATTGACAAGATACTTATGCAGCCGTAAACAAAATCAGCAATTTACCTGTAGTGCTAGTTAAGTAGTCGTTGGTGAGCGAGAGCCTGTGAGGTGGAGGCTTTACAGTTTCCAGTCGCACTGTAGAGTCGGACGAAAATCCCGCCTCCGGCGCTTTCCAAGACACCTACAGTTATTGCAATTTTAGGAAACATATTAAAACATTCTACAATATATGTTGTGAATGCGACAGTGAGTGTTAGCGACGTTCTTACGCCTTAATAGCTAACTAATTGGAATATAAATAGCATATGTTATTTTACGGCTAGTGACGATCTAGTTTAGCACACCGCCTTACACACAGTTCAGAATGCAGTTCGAGTCCTCGCACGGTACTAATATTAATATTCATGAGTATACATGAAAATGTGTCTATAATTGGAATTGTAAACATATTGACAGCCCATCTAATGGTAATCAGTAACTGTCGCCTATATACATGAAAACCGCTACAGACATCACGTTATCATGTGACACCCGTAGTACAATCCCGAGTTGTCATTCCAGAGGACTTAGATCATATCTCGTGAGCTAATTTCACTGTCTAACCTGTTATCCTACAACCAAATGAGCTAACAATGCCAGCTGCTCGGCGGTTGAAATAGGTGAGAATGAGATTCTCACGCAAACGACTTTTTACAGTCTATCTCTGGTACATTAATTATTATTTATAATATATGTCATCTTGCGATGACAATTTTACTTCAAATTTAAATTGCATATTTAATTTAGTTTTTAAACTATTTTGCAGTTATATAAGTAAAAAATCTGACTATCTAACTAACCTTCACCAAATACATAGTGGTAAATACTTACATCAGGCAGAAGTGGTGCGGTATGTGCAGATACTCTCCTTGCTGGCTGCGCCAGTACCCTGGGGGCTGGTAGTTGTGATCGCGTGCGGTTGTTTGGTAACTCTGATTGCGTATCGTTTTTGATCACCATTGATGATGACAACAGAAGCTCGTTCTTGCGAAGATTTGAACCTAAAAGTAATTTATTTACTTAAAAAGTAGTACTAAGAAAGTATTTTATAAGATGTTAGTAGAAGTAACTACAGATATAGTTTTATTAAATAATTCAAATTAAAATATATTCCATTAAAACTTCGTATCACTTTTGACTAAGTTTGTCAAATAAACAAATTGATTTTTAATATAAGAAGTAACAACAATCCGCGAGTACTCACATCATAAAACAAAGTATTGATTTGTTTTATGATATGAGTACTCGCGGTTCACGTATCCTTCAGAAAAACTAGTCCTACCTACACGCGGGCATCGGGTCCAATCGTGTTTTCAAAGCTTTTAGGAATCGAATCGAATTTTAGTAAATCGATCCCACAATTTAAAAGTAGCTAGGTAATATACATATAGATAGTAGATAGAAAGATATTGCAGGGTCTTATAATTCTTAATTTTTTTCTTATTGTATATTATAAAAACAAGAAATGTACATATATATAAGTATAATCATAGGGTGAAAAATGTCTTACCATTACAAGTGGTATGATCACGTCCGTTGTTTAGGATCACTGCGTCAGAATCTGAACCTGTCCTATGCTTAGGTTTTTTCCGTAAATTCGGTCTAGATAGTCTCCAACTGTATCCACGTTGAACCCTGCATTTGTCGTCTCCATTTGATCCTGGGCTCGTTAGACTTACACTCCTACAACAAATAAAGAAAGTAACTCTTTTGTTAGTACGTTAGAATAATAATTTTAACCATAAATTATTTTTAACCATAAATCAATTTTTATAATGGAACATATTCATGAAATATTTTTCTAAATGTCAATACTACTGTGCAATAGGAACTCAAATTATGACATTTGGCTCTCTTTCTTTATCTTTCTATGTGTATGTAAAACTAAAAATAGAATATTAGTATATATTTCGATATTAGCAATTATGTGCTATGAATATATTGTATTTTTGTAGATTCAACTACTATAACAAAGTATGGTCCATCTTTCGGAAAATAGTTCGTTCAAATTATTAAATTATTATCGTAAAAAGGTGGAACGATTTGAACATTTTAACAAAAACTATGAGAGTATGACAAAACTTGTTTTAAACCGGTACGACTTTCAATATATGCATGTTATTAATATCGCTAAGAAAGAGTAATAAATTAAGTACCTTATAAAATGAAAGATGTGCTTATGCTAATATTATATTCTTCCATCCAAGATATTGCATGTTTTATACGGATTAAAAGAAAAACTTTGAAATTATTAGCATAAAATATTAACATAATAGGATATTGAATAGGAAGTTTGTATACAATATTACGGGAATCCATCAAAAATTCGGAATGTATTATTGGTAATATTCGATTTTCTTTGTTTGTTCTTCGAAAGTAACACACCCCCAAAAGTTGTGTCTACTTTATATACTGGGAATATTTAAACTGAATTAAGTACAATCTAATGACATATTAAATTAGTGCCTATCTCTAAATTGAAGGGACACAGATACCCTAGAGAACAAGAAAAAATAATTGTATTTTAAATTTATACAGTAATTCAATATTTATCAATTTGACTCTCTTAGAGATAGTGGTATAAAATGGTATGTGTTATATCTTCATTAACGTATCTTATATGAACAGAATAAAGTTAGTACTAGGAAACTTACTTTTGTGTACTGAGGAGACTAGACTTGTCGCTTGTATTTAGACAATTATCTTCTTTCATTATTACAATTTGTAGATTCTTTTCCGGCGGTACAGGAGATGACATTGGTCTGGGAGTCGTCGGCGTAGAAGAACTTGTGGTCTTGATGGGTGGCAGAGCTAATGTTAAAGGAGGTGGAGCGAGAGACATTGGTGGAAGACGAGCTTTTTCTGCTCCAAGTTGAGCAGAGGCTGAATGTAGAGTTAAAGTGTAACTATTCGGAGGTTTTAAAAGTCCTGGTATGCTTGTACACTGAAAAATTAATTTTAATCATATTTTGACAAATAAAACACAAAAAGAACATTTTAAATAACAAGAATAATATCTTAGAAATATAGATGAAGAGCTGTATTGAATACTATAGCTGCTTTTAAACTAAATATGTTGTTAAATACAATAAAATTCTAATATGTTAATTTATATTTTTGGGATAATATTATATATCACAGTTTATAAGTAAAATATAAAAATATTTACAGAAGTGCGATCAATGGAGTCCAAACTTGAGAGCATTGAAGATCTTTCTAAACTGAGAGCAACGGTAAAGTCTCTGAATGACGCTCCAGGTTCCAATGTAGTGGATGGTGAATCTTGAGGCGTGGCGGCTGTATGAGTAATCATTGGTACTATTGTGCTTTCATTTGTGCCCGCGTTGCTTGCTAACATTTTTGATTCCTAAATATACAAAGCGGAATAATATTACTAAAAATCATTAATCTGTTCATGCATGTATTAATTTGGTTAATCGGGCATTGAACAATTTCAACGATGTTAATTTACTTAGATTAATATATATGACCTAATTATTAGTTATTGCTTTATTTTGTATATAAATCTTTTGATAGGTATTATTCACAGTTAATATTACATCAACATTCTAAATGCTAATTTATTATATATCACTACAATGGTGAACTACTGCTCGCTTAATAGAGAGTTATTTAACATTGCAGTTGACAGTCTACAATATATCATATATAAAGGTATGCCTCGCTAGTTTAAGACTCTTCAAAAGATTTGGAAAATATAATCACAGTAACAATACTAAAAACTAATATTGCGAGGCAGAAATGTTTCGTCGTCGGTTCATGTTCAAGCGAGAAGCCCGTATATACTCTTATTGCCCTTATTTGTCACGTACATGAATGTCCCCCACGCACACCCTAACTTCGAAATCAGAACAAACATTACCCTAAGCGGATTCGCAGGGTATGCGTGAACGTGACAGTCTTGAGTTACAATAAATTTAATACAGTCATAATGATAAATAGCTATATTTCAGATTTTACTATTCAAACAACCATGTTTCAACATACTTATATCATAAATAGTTACTTTAATAAAGAGGTTTGATGTGACTTTATAATGAGTTCTGCAGTGGTTTTGCTAGTACAAATCTAATGTTTGTACTCATTTGTGTACTCGTAACACCAGTTTCTCAACTTTGATACTTTGCGTTTAACATTTGTATAGTTCCGTACACTCTGTTTGTATTTTCATACTGTAAGTAACGCCGATTGTGCTGTTTGGCCCAGTAAACTTTAAAGAGTATTTACAAAAGGAAATATACCTTTTGAAAACTCGACGTGAACATTAATTGTTAGGTTTATCATGCTATGCATGGTTAAAGGGAAAGATGTTAGTACCTTTTGAATATTACACTTATTGGACTGTGCACAGTCTTTACACAGCGTAGGGTGGTGTGCTGAAGACTTTGCCTTCCTGCGAGCTTTAGATGCTTTGTCTTTATGTCCATTCACATCATCTTTAGTTCGTCGAACATCGTCCGCTGATTTCCAGAAGTTTTTAATTTCGTTCTGTGATAAAACATGTTACTTTATTATAAGTTAACAGATAGATAATTAATATTTTAATTGTTATTATTTCTAGTTTGTTTGGTCCTGTAACTGGGAATGTACTAGTAGTAAATGGTGACTACCAATCTATTGAGATGAGGAATCATCAATGTTAGATGACCAGACCTTTAGTATCAATCAGTACATATGTTAAGATATGTGTCTTGCATTACATCACTTAAGCTATTTCGAGTTGTAAGTATTATAGATTGATCGGTCCTTAGAGACCCTATGTTATACAGTACATAGGCGCTAATCTTAGGGAACGTAAGTGTTTATCTTAAGTAAAGGTGGTGTGATCTCTAGTAAGAATGGGTTAAAGGGTTGTTGGCTGCATGTCTATTAAAAGTAATGGAATTAAACAAATATAACTAATACTACAGGTCATCACAAGATTGAATTGTGGTAAATATTATGTGACTATAGTTTCAAATAAAAAATAAAATTATTAAAATGATAAAAATATATACGTCGACACTTTAGTCGACGAAAATAGAGTATTTACGTCAGTATTATAAAGTGTATAAATACCCGTAATAATTTATTCTCTAGTAAAAACTAGACATAACATAAAATATAATAAAATATATAATAAAATATAAATAACTAGACATAACATAAAAATGTTACGTTAGATGTAGGATATAGTTCAACATAGAAATGTAGTTGATAATAGAGACGAAAATGTAATTGTGATAAATATCACCTATAATACCTATAATTTTATACCTATTATATGTGATATTTTGTAGGAATTTGCAATAAATAAAATCGTACGACATACGATTTAAAGTAGTCGTTGTAATTGGTGAAATACTTTTGTGAATCCAATCCTAAATAGTTGTCCAATAAAGCTTCGTTAAAAGATAAAAGACGAACCTGTGAGAAACTGTCGCTGGAATGTGACCCTGAATTAGAATCGTCGTACTGTAACTCATTGTTGTCGGAGAAACATTCGTTTGACAATTTGGACTTTGCTAATTCGCGTTGTTCACGTTCCCTCCTTTCATTTCTCTGAAAGAAAAAAGAACTTTAGTATTTTCTATTAAGCATTAACACAACAATATTACACCTCCTACACAGTTCACCACAAAAAGAAAGCAAAGGCAAATATAAAGAAAATGTATATACAATATAGGTTAAATAGTTGTTATTATAATTTTTATACATTTCTACCGTAAAAAGCATACCTCTGAGCTGAATCCTTCAACAAGTATAGCTACTAGCAAATTAAAGAGCACGTAATTGCCAAAAGTCATCAGAGCCACGAAATATAATGCGGCCCAATGACTCGTCTTTTCCATGCCGTTGAACAATACAACATTCCAATCTTCTTGAGTTAAGACCTGAAATATTCACATCAAAGTGAGGGCTCTGCTCGTTTGAGCAACCGAATCTACCACATCAAATATCTTCAAATATCATGAATCACCTTAATAAATCAAAATAAGCAAGGTGTGCTGTCATATTGTATTAAGTAGTGCCTTTTGTGTTTGTAATCAATTTGATCAAATTAACGTAAATGAAATAAGTATAAAAAAATCTGTTAATAAATCAGCGTGTTAGTGTAATTGTCATGTAGTTGTATTAGTGTACACTAATATACAAGGTAGGGTCAGGTAATTGGAAGGGAACACAGACGGCGATTTTGAGTACACAAGCATTAATTTACAGCATTTACTAAAACTAATAAAGCACTATAAAGCAAGATGCAACTAACTACGGAGCGCTCCATATAAATGCATTACGTACTGTTGAATCTAAACTATATCGATTGTCAAACTGGCGGATCTCTCGTTTGTGGTAGGTTTAGTAATGTATATGACCAATTAGTTATAAATAGTCTTTTCGGACATCTTCAATGAAGTTGTCAAATAAGACAAGATGTTTCTAGAGTCATCTAAACAATTTATTATGAGATATCGATACGAGAAACACGCGGATACTAGTTCTAAAAAAACATACTTAAATAGGACCGCAAATAAACCAACTATGTTGTACCTTGTCTAACACCGGTCTCAAGGCTTACCTGGAACACGGTGACGGTAGCCCAGAGGATGTTATTAAAATGTTTCCTGTCGCATTCACACTTGGGGTGATGCGAGATGATTTCTGGGCAGGTACAATCTCGCTCGGCGCCATTGTCTTCCACATACTTGCAAAACTTACCACCAAATAGATACATGCCCAGAATACTGCGCGTCACGGGGCCGATGAAAAAATGAAAGAAAAAGAAAATGCTATGCGCATACGCCGCGACCGAGTCATCCTGACGATATGTTGTTGCGTTCGCGACGTTAACACTGCTGCCTCCGTGGTTATTCGAAATAGAACTAATCTTACAAGAATATGGTGTTGATATATTTAATAATAATGCAGGAAATTGTGCCTCATATTAATGTGCCACCACATCACACGATTGAAGGGTATAATATAAAAGTGCACAATATATATAAATACGTGAATATTATGTATGTACAATTATTAATACATGTATTATTTCTTATTAAGTTTATATAGCAGTAAAATTAGTTTCATTTCTGTAAATAAATTTTATGTATATTTTTATAAATATATTTTTGTATTTCATATAAAACGTTAAACATCTGAAAGAACTAATTGATTAAGCAGTGTTACCGTCATTGGGACGCTACCACCAACGGGTTTGTTAATAATAAAATTATATAATATTATAATTAACATCATAGTATTTAGTGCAATTAAGTTCCTCCATATAATTATTAATATTAATATATTATAATTCATTCTTTATATACTGCCTCGTAGTATCATGATTATAATAAAATATAAAATGCAGTTAAAATAATGTAGAAGTAAAAGATAAGCAAAAGAAAAGTGCATAAAAGATAATTTCATTCGTTTTCCTATAGAATTACTCGTGTTCAAATTTATCATCATTCAAATTAAATGCAAAAATTAAATAAAAATATAGATATCGAGTAATGCATATGGAAAAAGATAAATAGAAAAATAAGATGAATGAGTTAATCATATTAGCAAAGTTAAAGTTGAAGAACAGGGGGAGAAATTGAAAATTAGATTATCACCGAGTTAAGATAAAGATGCGGGACTTGTTGACGAAATCAATAAGTATAAAAATTTATATTTTGTGTATAGCTATATAGTAATTGTTACTTTACTAAAATAACTTAATTGAATTCGTAACAAGCCTTGAGATACCTAAATAATAGAAGCAGCATGCAAAGTGATAGATAATATGTAAAAACTGAGTGCAGTTGTAGGTTGTAGTGGGAGTAGAGGAACTGACGAACAGGCTAACCCGCGACTCGGCTTGTATCGACCTCAAGCTAACCTACTACTCAACTAAGCTCTCTGACTAATAATGTGCTCTTGACAATTTTTGATGGGAATACTGGTACGACACAACATGGTGATCGTGACACTAGATGATTGGATCAATTTGTTACGATGATACTATTGTAACACTACGCGGGTTCTAGGATAGCGGTTACGCGAATATAACGCATGTTTGACATGTCACAATACTGCAAGAGCTCTTTTACTGTTTGACCAATGCACTCAAATTTCAATTTTATGTATATACCAATGATCTTGCAGAAAAGTGGAAAGTCAATTGTGTACTCGCGTCGTTAGTCGATTAGCTGTCACAAGAGAATTCTTCTGTTAATGGGATTGTCATACTGTCGTGAGTGTTGACTGCTGACGACCCGTAGGTAAGCGTTTAGTAATGTTGCAAGTTCAGTCTGTTTCTGGATTGTCTGTTAGGGTACTTTAGTTTAAAATGTTGAATACCTGAAACACCGTGACAAAGGCCCACAAGAGCGTATCAAAGTTTTTTCTGTCGCAATCTTGGTCGCCTTCTTCATCTTTCTCGCAGAATTTGCACCCGAAGAGGTTCATACCGAGGATGCTGAACGTTATCACGCAATATACGATTAGATATAATACGGACACTATATTCCTTTCGATACAATATATAAAGGAGGATGATATAATGTATATTTAAATATATATATTACAGGTGTTAATATAATCTAAAATGATAAGTGATAAAGTGCAGGTGTAAATAAATTGAAGTGGACGAAAAGCACAAAAGCGTGAAGTTCTAAAGATATAATAGAAGAGAAAAAGTTGTAAGAGTGTAGATAGTGGCAGTGTGTAGTGGGTGGAATGTCAAAGACAGAAGTAGTAGTACATACATTTAGGGAATAGTTTGAAAAGAAAAGGAGAAATCACTCACAGTTAGTGCACGGGTTAAGGGGATGCGGGTGTGACAGTTAGTAGAAACATTCAGAATTTATGGTTTACGGAGTCGAATAAGATCTTCTTTTTTCTATGGAAAAATGATTTATTGGATTAAGCAATCAACGACAGATTGCTTAGGATCATTGTGACTACTTGGTTAAAGTAACTACAATACGGGACGAATGAAATGTCACAAGTTACGGTAAATAAAAAATTGAAATATACACAAGATAGATTATGGAATATACTATTAAGAACCTAATTAGATAAACAGATAGCTTATAAGTATAGTAAGTGATACGGTAATAGTAAAAGATAAATTCGAAAAGTTCCGTAAAACCAAATAAAACAGTAATATGATCCAAGTATTATTGCGTATTTATTTCATCGGATTAGTTAAGAGAAACAAAAATGGAGAATTAGTCCTGGAAATTACAGAAAAAATATAACACAAAGTGCAGTCTTGTTCATATTAATAATTCCTTTTTAGTTTTTTTTAATAAAATCAAAGATTAATATTTTCATTTGCAATGTTGTTTAAATTCATGCAATTTAATTTTATAGATTTATTATCAATTTATTTTCATTGTATATTTGATTAAAACGTAACATTATTTATATCATAAATATAGGAGTCACTTGTAATCTATGTATATCTATTTTTATTGACAATTACAATATTTTCACCAAATTTGAACTTGAATAGTTCTTTAAAATAAATAATTACCTGAAAATGAAAATGAAGAGCACCAATAAGGAGAAAAAGACGGCAACATTATCCATTGTTCGCAGCATAACGAACAGCTGTCTCCGGAGGTTAGGCATAAATCGAACCAGTTTTAGTATGCGCAAGAGTCGAAATGTACGCAACACAGAAAGACCTGAACTCCCAGCCAGATCTTTATCGTTTCTCATACTTTGGGCCAACTCGAATGCACTGTACAAAATATACGTAACATAAACATTAAAACTACGTACCTAAATTTTGTATTGGATTTAAACATAAATCTGAACTCTAAAATGTGGGTAAAGTGTAATAACAAGAAGGCAATTCGATATTTATTATTTTTTAAGTTCATTTTGTCCAGAATGCTATTTTATTATTTAAACATTTCTTAAAATAAACTTTTGTAAAAACTTGGCCAAAAGCATAATACGTGGAGGGTGGACCTTTGTAATATATTTTCAGTGAAGATATAATAGTAGGTATTGTTTGTAGATCTAATTTGACTGCGACTATTGTTGTTGTTATTGTTTGCGAAATAAAACTAAAATCACATACAATATGCAATTTTATACGAAAAAACCTTACCTTAATATTACAATAACGCCATCAAAGACGTTAAACCCGTTAGAGATGTATTTAAAAGGCCCCTCGGCGATTATTTTCAGAAGCATTTCAACGGCAAATATTGCGGAGAACACTATATTACTGATCTCAACAATAACTGTAAGCTCTTCCGGTTGATTGTGATATTCAATACCCATAGATAATGTATTTATGAGTATAGCAAATAATATACCTGAAAGGGAAGTAATCTTTGAATTATAAATATTTGCTGTATAAACTTCTTTTAGTGCTAAAATAATATTTCTAATATATCATGATCAATATATTATTATAACTATAATATTATTTTAAAATTGTCTGTTTTATTTCCTAATAAACAAAATTAAATTCCCATTCATTTTAATCGTTTATATATATTATTAATATCGTAAATAATAAATTAAATAGTAATAGATTAAATGTCATTACTATGAAATATAATATTTTTTAATAATAATGAAATTTATATTACACATATACGTATGTATAATATTAATTTCATTATATTATTACTATGGAATCTTTATATTTTTGTTGAATATTTTTTATTTAAAATAAACCTTTACAGGATTTGAGCAGGTTTCTCAAAATTAATAACTTTCTGCAACAAGAAGATAAAGCAACTAATTATGAAAGTTTCTAACAACAAAAATATACCTTGTTGGAAGTATTTGTGATTAACTATGTTTTTGATGTGTTTCCGTTGCCAGGAAAATACTTTTGATATCTTTTTCCAGAACAACGAGCATGCGCTCGTGAATCGATTTTTTCTTGATTGTTTTGCGGCTGCCTCCGCTGCCAGTAACTCAGCACAGCATGAATAATCTTCTATTTCTATAGCCTAGAGGTAAACAAATTTTAATTCTGTTTTTATATTATCTATAATATATGTTTAGGGTTATTCGTATTAATTTAAATTAGCTAAAAACCTAATTAAAATACTGAAATGTTTAGTTCGGGCAGAAAGGAATTTCCAATAGTTAAAATGAATTTATTTTAACTATTGGAATGTTGAATGAACTTATTTTAATTTCTATGAATAAGGGTTAGATGAGTAACGAGTAATATTCCATACCTTAGTATCATTTTTTTCTTCACCAGCTCTTTTGCTGATTCCTTTTGTGAGTTCTTCGAAAAAGGAATCCAATGCGACTTGTCCAGTTGGTAATGCTGCCGATAATGCTCCAGAGAGTGCCAGCAGTTCTTGACAAGACATAGTTCCACCAGCTGCGGCACGTTCCTCCGCCGTGTCGCCTGTCGGCAAGTCGAATTCTACGCCCGATATTTAGTGTCATTATTGTACGATAGTTTACAGTCTCGTTCATATCTCTAAAGCATCTAACTGTTCGGCAATATCGGTAAAGCATTTTATTGAATTTAATATATATTGTAATCTTATTTGGAATAAAGAATTGATTTTCATATTAGGTACGTTATATGCATACATTTATGTTTGTACCTAATTATTTATTTTACATTCAAACAGTAAAATATACTTTAGAAGGATTACAAAATATATCAAGAGATTTTATGTAGACACAGATAAAAGAATATTCTACCCTATGCAATGAAAGGAAGAATAGAAATTTGAAGAAGTTAACGTTTATAAAGATTAGGAAGTGCCGTTGAGTCCTATTCGACTTTTGAAGGAATGCACGAGTAGATTAAAGAGGAAGAAAAGCGGAAATATAAAACCAGACTGCTCATGCCTTGCTAATACTTGTCTAGATCTACCGTCTCTAGACTCACCGCTTTGGCTCTTAAGCCAGTCACGTTGACACAATGAATCTACAAATATTCATTGCAACTGTTATATTTTGTTAAGTTTAAATTACGAAAGAAGGGAAACAGATGTTTATTAAAGATGGACTCTAGAAAATTTAGCTTACTGTGAATTTGTATGCATATAAAATTAAAATAATAAATGAAATATTTAGTAACGAGTGGTAACGATAAACTCTGGAGTCTTGACGGAAATTAGAGTAACATGTAATTAGTATTCATAATGTACATGTCAAAGTGATGAATATAAATGAAAAGCATAATAATTATTTCTTAATAAATTTATAGACCTTTTTGATTTTAATTGTCCACACAAGTTATTAAAGTTATTAGACTATCCTGTACCTAGTCGTCGACTAACTGGCCTAACTCAACTTAGCTCGTAACCGTAGCTCGCGAGTTCGAATCTAGCCGAGACGAAAAAAATAGGAGCCTACCAATTTATATTTTCTACTGACTTCGGTAATAGTAACAAACAATCCAAATTAAACAGAGAGACGGCGATAGGCTCGCCTCCTGCTACGTAGAATTCAAACACACAGCGAAATGTTAGCATGTCAAGTATTACGTTAATGATGATGTCGAGAGTTGTCAAAGTTTTTTTAACTTTAATTATTTTATTTTTAATACAGGCACATCTTTCAGTCTTGTAAAATAAATCATATCAACTATCGTACGACAAAAATACCCCATATTATAATACTTGACTCTGTATGTACCTGTTTGCGTCATCTTTTCAGAAGAGCAGACGTTGTGTGGGTGCGCTGTATGCGGAGTATTGGGTGCGTGTAGGAGCACCGTATCGCTGAACATGACCGAAGATCTTCGCCGAGCTAGCGATGGCGGCGACAGCAACGATAGATTCGATGCGTTCTGTACCAACATTTCATTATTAGTACAAATTATATTATAACACGCTTAATAATAAACTGAGTTAACTCAATAAATATATATATAGATATCCACTTCACGTTTAAAACTTTAAAATTGCTTTCCCAAAATAATGAATCTTTTGTGTTAATGCACTTTATGTATGTGAATAACCATACAATCGGTTTTAAATATGTTATAGAATATCTATAGGGATTCGTAATAGTGGGCAGTTCAGCCTTATTCTAAAGTTTTTGGTGTGCTCCCTATGTAGTCAATATATGTAAGTATACAGACTACACAAGTGAGCTCTCTCTATCATCAAAACACTATTAACTACGGATATTTTTCATGACATGGCATTTTCTTGTGTAAATATTACAAATATTTTCGCTAAAACAGTTTCGATGGTTGTATTAAAAATTAACCCACTTCTGTTTTGTTTTTCTGTTAGTACAATGTAGAATATAAAAAAAGTGAAATATTAATGTAACCATTTCAATTTACCATATAATACTTATAAGTAAAAAAAGGTCCATTTCTATAAATTCTAAAGAGATATTATTTTTAAAACAAAAGAATAAACTATCTCTACTAATATTTTTTATGTGTTATACATTAATACATAAAAAAATATTGTATTTCAATTTACATAATTGTGTAAAATATATCTAACTATGGTGCTGTTTTGTGACAATATTACCTCAAGATCAGCGGCTGAGAGAGAAGGTACGCGCAACAGGCTGGGCCTGCTGATGGGTTCGTCGCCCCCTCCCCCTGTCGCCTCCTCAGGTTTCCCCCCATTGCCCTGTCACAGTGTCGAACAATTACAATACAACCCGACATCACGGAAGCATCTTTGTAAAACCTTCAGAAATATTTTATTATAATTTCGACTCCTCCAATTCTACTACAATAATGATAAATTGGATTTTAATGTCGTACTCGGTAAGAATATAGATAAAAGTGAAATCTAAAGATAATAAAATAAGGCAAAGTTTCAATTTAAAGTTCGACAAGAATGACACGAGAGGATGATTTGATTTAGATGATAATTAAATTTCAGACGATTCACGTCTTCTTTTCATTACATTTTGTTATTTATTCAGTAAGCATTACATTTAATTTTTGTCTTTGTAATTTAAATGAAACAATTCATTATACCGAAATACTTGTCTGCTCAACTACATACTTTTCGTAGTCATGAAAATAATAATGGATTAGCTTGGCTACATAAATTTAAGTACATGAGCCGTACAGTCGATATTGTTTATAAACTTAATAAGAAATTGACCGAGGTGAACTTTGTATAAAGTCGTTAGCATGGCTATCTCTTTTTCCCTATTTGAGCCGACCGGTAACTTGTTTTGTAAGCCATGTTTCAGTTGAAACGGGACATATGGCAATATAATTTCATTACCATATGTCCCATGTACACTGAAGAGCACACTTTAGTCCTTCAGAATGGTAACACATGAGGCGGTTCATAGGCGTCGCAAGACGACTTGATTGGAGCTATACATGTTAGCTATGTTTGGCATCTTCCATCAGATAAGTCCTCATCATGTTTATCATTCCAATTACATAAAAAATAATTGATGTATACCTGTGGATGAATACGGGGGCAGCAGGGATGGTGTTGTTTGGGTTTATTCGCTGGTAATTGAAGAGTTTCCCGACTGGTGCGCCAACGGAGCTGCGCTCGTTGGTATCGGTATACTCTGTTACAGACAGTAATGAATTTATTAGCGAAATATACATAATATTATATAATAATAATATTTTTATTGACACCAATTTAAGTAGTTACAGTTAGTTATTCTTCTTATAAACTATTACATTTTTATTAAATATGCATCATACATAGAATTTACCAGTAGTATCTATACTAGGTCGAGCATGTATCATAGATATTACTTTCTTCCAGCGACAAATAGGTAAAAATTAAAATGTTGCAATTGCGTGGGTAGATTTACATTTCAATTTATACAACTTATACAAAATATGAATGAATAATTTAGACTCAGATTAAATGGAACTAATGGTTATGGTACAAGTTTATGGTACCGGCTTGATAATATTCCGAATATAATAAAAAAAAACTATTCCTAAATTACAATGAATTATTTATGGGTCGTACCTTCATTTACATTCTATTTGGCTAATACGCTCAATGTCTAATAAACTTATTGTAGTAGCTATTAAGTATTAATAGCTACTACAATAATGAATAATGTACACAACATTATTCATTATTGCGGGTTTCTAGGAGGTTTTAGATTGAATAAGTTTGTAGGGTTGGCATATTATTTGGTATTATTAAGTTGGCATATTATTTGGTATCACAAATTAAAATTTCGATTACAATGACTTGTAAAATTTCTATATGGTATTTGTATGTTAAATTTGAGTTTGTGACGTAAAAAATGCAATTACTAGACTATTAAAATGGTAACATGGAAATGAAGTTAATTAAGTTAGTGATATTCATCATACGACATTCAACAATGGATCGTTGTCACCGTACCTTATTTTTTTCGCCATTCTCCTTTTGAATCTTCTCCATAAATGGGCGACGTACTTTACAATCTCGGCGTAACATGTCGCCGGTTCACTATTGTTCGTGGACGATGCTAAAGTGGACGACGATGTAAACCGAGCTCGCTCAGCGCGCATTCTCTCCATCTCGCGTTTTTTAGTTTCACTGAATTGAGTCGCAATTACGACTAAGCACAGGTTGATCATGAAAAAAGATCCAATCTAGATGTGAAAAGAAATAAAAACATTATGTAATATGTATCGCAATATTACGTATGTCTAATAGATTTCGTAGCTTATAGGGTCAAATCAATCTTCGTTGTACCCGTCAAATCGAAAGATTTATCGTAAGTTGTGGTGATATGTAATTTGATCAAATTATTTTTATTACTTTCTTAGGCACATATTTAATCAAAATAAAAATGCTGCATTATGTATTTGAGAATTAAAACATAAAAAGGGAGCATTAAGAAAGATAAATAGACAGACAGTCAGTTTATTTGACTGATACTTGCGTGCATTATTATTTTTAAAATAATATGGGCTCAAAAAGCACATATTATATATGTGCTTTTTGACTGGCAAATTCTATTAAATTATATATTAGTATGTCAAGTTCCAATATGAAAATCAAAAGTTTAAATAAATTTATACCTTAACATATTTGTACAAAAATGTTGGTTTTGAAGAAGCATTTGTAAGAGACCGTGTTAGATATTATAACCGTGTAAGAGTTAGATATGACAACTATTTATTTCAGAATTTATAAAAAGTTTCAGCTTGTTCGACCTTTATCCATCAACCGCCAAGAAGCTTGCCTTGTAAGCTGTGTTTCGGCTGAAGGGTGAGATAAGGCGTGAAATTACTGGATAAGAGGAGGTTACCTTTGTCTCTGGAATAGCAACGTACGACATAGTAGGTGTCACATTATAATGTAAGGTCCGTTGTTCATGTATATTAGCGACGGTTACCACTCACCATCAGGTAGGCCGTCAGCTTGCTTGCAATTCGAATTACATATAAAAATGTTATACTTACGACAATTAATAATACGAAGTATATCCAGTCCCAAAAACTATGTGCGTCTTGTACATAGTACATTATATCTGTCCAACCTTCAAGTGATATTACCTAAAATTGGTAATCTTGGTTACAGAATGTGAAGGTTAAAATGAACATTTTCGTATGTAAATTGATAATAAATTTCGATGTATTTCCGGAAGTTTATTTCGGTTAATCCATATATTATGCGTATCTACATATGGTTAAAACCACTCATTTCGATATGAAACGAGCCATTAAAAGATTACAGATAAAATCATAGTTAAACCACAGATTTCGTTTCACGGTACACAGGAAATCGTGGTAGCAATTTAAGACATCTAATTATATTTCGAGCTCAAATTTATTTAATATCTCTTTACTAATACACTCTGAAACTATAAATAGAACGAGGTATTTTATACAAAATGGTAGTAAATTCTGTGTAAATTCTGATTACGGAAATAATATTATTAAAAATTATAAATATTACTTTCCCAGGAAGTTCTTAAATTATAATTTTATTTGATTACATACAGTACATATATAGTAATAAATACTTATGGTTCTGAATTAAACAAAATAGTTATAGCTACTGTAATCATAATGAAAATTGATAGATGTTTGCATAATTTATTACTTTTAATTTAAAATATCCACTATACTTAAATTTATACTTTATATTAAAATTATATTTTACTCGTATTTTCATTTCTGTTTATGTATGACACAAACATATTATGTCTTTAAAATTTATAATATATGTAGATCATATTATAATTTAAAATTAATTTTAATATAATTAAATACATAATATACTTTTAATTATTAATAAAATATATTCGAACTAATGACTAAATATACAATATTAAACTGAAACTTACCAGGAATATAGCGACCCAAGCAAGACCAATATTATCGAAGGATATCGTTCCTTGGAATGGATTGGAACCTCTTTGTGTGCAGTTGGTATAATACTGATTCCAGTTAACACATGAGGTGTTTGTTGGCGCATTGAGGGAGTAGGGTTTCGCTGTTTCATTGCAGACTAGTTGCCCATACCGGTAGGGTGGGAAGTTGCCGCAATGGTGCATGCCGCTGTCTTCTGGCGTTGTACATATGTAATCCAACTCTTTCGAGAACTCGTAGTACAACGATATGCTGTGTAAAATATTAAATATATTTAGGATAGGTACTGTCATATCTACAGATACATCCATACTAATATTTCGAAGTTCGAAGATATATCTGTCTTTTTGTTATTTTATGACTAAACAATTGTACGGATATTAATGAAATTTGAGATGGCAATATGTTGTATCAAGAGCACGGACGTATGCTATCCTTCATCTAAAAAAACAAAGACAAAGTCACGGGTAAGAAATAGTTTTTTTATAGGTACGTTAACATTATTAGTAACGTTTTTTTGTAATTATTATAGAAGGAATTATTTCTAACTGAAAGTGAAATAAGAACCACTTAGTAATTGTTATTTTATTCAATTAGTATAAAATAAGTTGTTGAGACAAATTCGGTCTTGGAAATTTAAGGACAAGGTAATTGTAACAATAATCATAACTTCGAATGTCTTCGCAACAACATTTTTACAGATATGTATATTTTTCAGGAAAGTCTTTATATAAAGACTAATTTTACTTTTTTATTAGTAAATACTTTCCGTTATCTCATTAAGAGATGCTAATTAGTTAATATTAAAAGATGTTCAGTAATTAGTTTGTTTGATGATGTAATGGTCATAATTGTTATATCTATAATGTAACATAAAAAGCAACAGTAATTACATGTAATAAATCTACTAGGTATTACTGATAAAATTAGAATTATGTCTCTTTAAAGGACCGTTACTCATTCTAAGCATTTTAATGGCCACACATGCAAATTTCAATTCATTAGCACATTGACTAAAACATGCACATACATTCTGAAATGAAAGCGGAGATTGAATAGGGCTAATTTATCTTAATTTCGAATCTATTGGATGTGAATATTAATAGAGATTTCTGAGAAAACCAAGGTAAATATTAGTGGATCAGCAAGATTAACGCCGGTGGCCCCAAAGGTCGTTATTACAAACGACACTGGCCGTAACACAGCGGCACACGAACGGTAGTAACCCACATCATTTGCGGCACCCGCTCGTTACGGAGTCTGTTCCCTTGATGATACCCATAAGGGTTTTATTGTGGTCTTTCAGTTCATTCTAAAACATCTTTTCAGAATTTCAACGAAGCATAAATATTTATTCGGACTTGCGCTTTTCTATTCGATTTTCTTTCTTGTATCTCTACCTATTTTGAAAATGGAATGAATATTCTTTTTGATTGCTATGCATGTATGAATTGTTATAAGAGATGTTAAAAAATAACACAAAGTAAGCAATGTTCTTACATAGCTAATATTTATATGAAAGCAGTATACATACCAAATTGTATACTTAGTTATGTTAATATGTTAGGCAATTATGTTTTTGTGTCTCGAGTTTTACGTATTGAAGTTGCTTTAGAAGTAGAATGGTACAGTTGTCTAAATAGATAGCATAGTAATACATGATTATATGTGTATATAGATAAAATAGTAAGTTGTGCATTCTAGTTTTATAGAATTTAAAAGTTATTGTTTCGATAGGTGTTGTATTGTAAGAATAATAGTGTCATATATTCGATAAATTTAGAGGAAGTTGATAGAACTACCCATATTTAATTTGATACAAAACAAACTGGCAGTTCTGAATGACGTACAATATAGGATACATGATGATGCTAATTATTAAAATATTAATGATTGTATGATATTAGAGTATTGTGATTTATAAAAACTGCCAGTTCGTAGATGGGAAGCCAATACGAAAGCACATCTGGACGGCAGATGTGTGAAGGTACACGATACAACAGTTTTCAATGTTCATAATAGAAACACATTAATTTTGATCGCAAATCCTTACGAGTTCACTCTGACGCGCACTCTGTACCATTCGGACAGGTCTCTGGAACATAAATTTAGGAAGAGGTGATGGGTGTTAAGTGTCTAGTTTTAGTTTAGAATTTATAAATCCAAATATGTGAATACTTAATAAAGAGGAACATTGGAAATTTTGCTGTTCAGTTATACACATGTTTGGATCATTATGTTTGATGTCTCTAGTTACCTATATGTTAAGTTCTATATTTACATTAGTAAGATACTAGGAATTGTTTATTATTATTTTTTCATAATGGAATGTTAATGCTACTATGTCGGAATGATATGGCCAGAATCTTCTAATGTAGCGAATTGTATGATAAAAATACCTATTATATTTATATATAATATATATAAATAGATAATGTGATGTAAGTAAATGACTTCTTTCTGCTACTTCAATAACTGGTTCGGCATGCGTGTATCAATCATTAATTGTCCATTGTCCTTAGGTGAATATTGACGGAATGCAATATTTACGTGGTGTTGTACAGTATTATGAAAAGCTGATTAAATTTCCGACATGCGCGAATCACAAAGTTAGTTACAATGAAAAAAATAATATGCAACCACCAAATGTATGTAGAATGTCAAATGATAGAGCAGCCATGGATGTGCTCGTAGAATGTAAGCGTTAAATATTGCATGCAGTCAACGTTAGCAGTGGAACGTGCCGCTAAGATGAGCGCTCTCGAGCAAATGGAACAAAATGAAAAAATCATTTCAGCTGCCATTTAATTCAAAAAAACTTTAAATATTTCCAGCCAAATTCATTCTGTCGTCCAATTTTGGTTTATTACTTATTCATTGTCTAATTAACGCTTACTTCTATTAGGTTCGAACTACGAGCGGCAACAAAAAGAGACTTGTTTATGCATGTCTCTTATTGTGCATATAACAAGGGTTAATGTTAATTGATGGTTACTCACTTGGGTCGATATACGTGTGGTGGTAGAACAAATTCGCATCGTTGTCTGAGAATTCCTTCCCAAAGTTGAACTCCGACTATGCCAAATATGAAGAACACGAAGAAACACAGAAGTAAGACGTTGCCCAACATAGGCAGAGTATCCAGCAGTAACATTACCAATATTCGCATACCTGGGGAAGCAAACAAAATAAAATTATTAAGACATTCGCAGAATATTCTATTAGAGTTGATTTTACTTCGTATATTTTTAGTTATTAAGGAGTTCCGAAGAGTTCTGGCTTTAATAGCATTAACAGTCTTTGTAGTTCTAACAGCACGCAGCCGTCCCGATCTTTTCTGGTCTTCGACAGACGAAGTACTGTTGTATCTGTTGTTACGATATACGAACATACGGCTGATACCAAGCTTTTCAAGTGTCTGGAATACGACTGACGGCTCCATACCCACTATGTGCAAGGCGATCACTGCAATCCACATGATTACAAATGTTTACACTGTGCGAGCAATCGAACCCGCCACCATCGGAAGTAAAGCGGTTTGCTAAACCGCTAAACCACCGACGCCCAGATTGTTACCTCTTGATATTTAGGTCTCTTAGAGTTATAATGGGCCTAAGTAATCAGTGTGATATTTAGTGTATACCTATAAGGTAATAACAAAATATATCAAGAACAAAATGGATCCTTTTTACGCCAGTCAATTAATATCTATAATATAGTATCGTCGGGTTATATAAGGTCGGTGGTTGTGAAATTAATTTGTTACGGGCCTGTTGTTGTAGGTAGGTAGAAGTGAATTCGGCAAACACATTTCTAAAATACCTACCGCAGGCTTGATAACGAACATTATGCTCTAATTACGTACGCAATGCCAATAATTCGGAACAGCGGTTATTTGGTTGTAGTGGAATATTTGAAAGCGATACATTATTATTATTAAGCAATATATATCTATGTAATACCGTAATCATGTGAAATAATTAGAAGGTATGCTTATAATAAATTTTTAATTCAAATCATACCTTTCATTAAATCATAGATTATCTTCTGTACTTTAGGGCTATACAACTAACTAAATAAACTATTACAAAGAATACTTATTTGTAACCAAAACTTGATTATTATTTTAAATGTGAACTTTAATAATAAATATAGAGAAAGTATACTATTAATGATTTCAATTGCTATGCGTACAATTTACAGTTATCAATTGTAATTATTTGTATGAACAAATAATTACAATTAAATAAGCAGGGCACTAGATTGCATTCTGTAGTAATAGATATATATAAACTATGGACATATGTATATATGCGAGTACCAACCGCAAGGGATGTTAAATAAAATTTGAATAAAAATGCAATTTCATATCCATATTTCTCATAATATAATGAGGAAATAAATATAATTTGATTTTGAGAGGAAAACCACTGAATTTTTTGACGTTATTGAACCAAATAATATGAGAAAACGTACGTAAATATATATAACTATGGACATATGTATATATGCGAGTACCAACCGCAAGGGATGTTAAATAAAATTTGAAAAAAAATGCTCTATCCATACTCATTATAATGAGGAAAGTAAATATTTTTTGTGTATTAGTGAGAAACTTTAAAGAAAAACTTCTATATGCTTTCATCTATAATGAATATAAAATACTATGTTAAGAACGCAGACTATCATCCTAGTGATAAATTTAATTTATAAACCAATTATAGATACAATAGTTAAAGTAAATAATAGAACATGTAAACTAAACATAATGATAAAGCAACAGATTCAGTTATAAATCAAAAGCTCCATTTCAATTTAGCAGAATAAAAACGCACGTGGGGGCAATAAATTGTGGGAGAGGCGAATTAGTGCCGATGTATGTCTAACCGCAACCGAGCGTAGCCCGATTTAATTTGTAGCTTCGTTGCATTGTTCCAGTTGTTGGAGTACTTCACGCAGTCATGTTATGGGGGTTTTCTCCCCAAATTTGGGGAAATATTGTGGCGATATCACAATGAGAAGAAATTTTGGGAGAACTGATAGAGGAAAATTTATATTGGTACAAGTGGGGGGTATTAACTTATTAATAGTAGTACAATAAAAATAATACAACTCTGACTACAAAGATAACTAGGCACATTAATAAGCTATCTTTTTCAAATTATATAAATCCAATTTTAGGGGAATAATTTGGGGAGAAAGACGGTTTTTTGTAATTTTACGATTTGCTAAGTCGTCTGGATTTTCTTTGTGATCAGTATGTGAATTATTTCATCCACTAATCAACTGCTGCCAATAACTAACGTATTTTTTTTTTGTTTAAAACTAGAAATGTCGAACACATTTCTGTAAAACAACAACTGTATTAAATGGAAAACACTTGAATTAATACTTTTCTAAATCTATGTTGTCTATGTTAAATAGTAATCAGCACAATATCTATGTATTATTTATTTATTTAAACTCTTTATTGCACCAGACAAATAAAACACACAAAATGATAGATTACATAAACTGATACAAAAATATACAACTCGTTGTAATTGTAATATGCATTGTATTTAGTAATATTTATAGACATTATAAGTAGTAAGATAATATTTTATTAGTAATATTTTATTGCGTTTGTACAAATTTTTATATTTGATTTTTAACATTAATTTGGTATCTGTGATACTCTTATCCCAGATACCCAGGTGTAAGACTACCCATGTATGTATATACTAAAGTACAGAAGTAATTTGTTAGGCGGATATATGTATTATGTATTAATCCCTAATAGGTTCCTAATAATCTTATTTTTTTCAATCATTTCATGACCCCTATGACTTATGATATTACTGACATTGTACTGAGAACAGCCTGTGGGAAAATGATAAATTCATTCTTTCATTAGCCTATTTCCTGTTTCCTTAGTGTCTGTTTATATCCCTTGATTAATTTAGATTGGTATCTGGAGTAACAGTAGGCGTCTGGGAATTTGTATAGCCCGTTTATTCTATTGTGACTTTTAAGCCCGGTGTCATAAGGTGCAAATGACAAAAGATTTATTGTCTGTGGTTATAGACATGCTGTTATTTAGGATTATTTTAGAAAGGTAAGAGTGATCTGGGGCAAAAAGAACTTCTATATTGAGGGATTGAATTTGCAAACTGGTACAAATACAATATTTATACAATTAGTGAAAATGCGGTAATTATTACAGACGATTACTTTTGGTATTGATATAGACCTTATTGCATTGACAATAAAGTTTTTCTCTTAAAAGTATACTATGTGTTTAATACGCCTCACAAATAATTCAACAATCCATCTTCGTACTGAGACTGCGTGGCGAATGAAGATTAAATGATCGTTCCGGGATAAGTGGCCATGACCTACCTTTGGCAGTACAAGAGCTAACATTGTGCATAAAAATCTGTGTCACTTGTAGTTATTACTTTCAATGTTTGTATCATATGCATACAGCACAATTCTGTTGATATAATTTTGGCAATTTACTTCTGACAGAAATACAATGAATAAAATTATTATGACTATATTACTCCTCGTAAGAGGATGGGAATAATAATTTACAAGCTATTTTTAACCAGGCATTAAAGATAAAAAATATAATATTCGAAATTAAAAATCCTACGCATTTCTAGGATGTTCTAGTAAGTAATTCATTCCAGCAGTATATAATATCTTATACCTACGTTATATGATATCTATTCATCTAAGAAGTTACAATTATTATAATTTAGTATTTACATAATCAATTAATATAATTTTCTTTTATATATAGATATTTTATATTAATAATAGAGTTAGATGGGACTTGAGGAACTTAAATATGTGTACCCTGAATGTCGAGATTAACAAAGACCTATCTAGTCTGTTAATGTTGACAGTTTCGGAACAGGTAATTGTAGTAGTTGTTTGGGTCTTGGATGCATAATATATATTATGCATCCAAGCATGTATTTTATGTATATGTTTATGTTATATAGTCTGTATGTAGTGTCGAAGACGAATTTAATTAACGATACGAAAATTTGTACTTTGATAATATTTTGTTCTAGCGAAAAGTATTTGTTCATTCTAACAGTATTGACAATGTCATAGTAGTATAGATGAGAAGCTTCTTCTGTTTTTATGTAAAAAAAAGTATTTTTAACTTACATCTGTATACGAAGTCTAAAACAGCATTTACGGAGCGGCTATGAACTTTGCAGAATCATAAATTCAACAGACTTGAAAGTTTGTATAAGATTTCTTACGTGGCGTGTGCAGTCACTAGAAAAGTTTCATACTATACCAACCAAAACCAGAGAAAACTAGTTTCGAGCGAACAAACCCGCGTCTTTTCCTTCTATTGTTGAATTATAATCTGTATATCCTATGCATATATAGAGATTTGTGTATTTCTATAGCACACTTAGATATTATGTGCGATACTAATAATACATTTTCTGGACTATTATCAGAAATGGGATAGTTAGATGCATTGTCAATGCACGTAATTTTCTTTTTACGTGGCAAGGGTTAGGCCTTTCGCCCACTCTTAGATCCATTTTGATCTATTATTGGTACATGCAATGAAAGTCAATCAGAAATATGTATTAACATGAAATTCTTTCTGGTGAAAGCCAGATTTTAACTAAATGTCTTTGTGATATTATAAAGTTAATTTCTAAAATCAATATCATTAATTGATATAGGTTATTTTAGCCACTTAGGAACATCATGTTTTATTTGTTATTAATTTTTCCCTACCTATAGTTCATTAAATAGTTTCAATTGAAAAGAAATGGCAAGAATCTCAACTGATTAAAACACTAGTCTTTGCATTTCTCATCATCAAAGAAATTAGCATATGATATTAATTTTAGTAATTTGTGTGTCACGTTATTTGTAATGTGAGAGAGGATGTCAAAACAAATCTCAGTGAAGCACCTACTGGGTGGGAACCGGCTGACGATATAGCAAACGAGCTCGGCCGGGCTCACTTGTTGCTCCGATCGATCGGCCTCCCACGGCCGCACTCCATTCTACTTCATGTACATTTTATAAGTGCCACATGGATAATGCTTATTTCTCTAAAGCATGCATTCTCGTTTAGTTCAAAATGTTAGGGATTATATATTAGTTTATCTATTTATATATTTTTATTAAATTTTGTCATAATACTGCGTTATATTTTGAATTAAAACTTGAATTTAATTTTAAATTTTGCCATTCTTTCAAGGTAAAAAAAGAATAATTGTTGGTTCAAAACATACTTGGCCTTAAATCATACCCTATAATTATTTATCTATGGCAAATAGTAGTAAAGATAGAAGTTGTAAACATTTACATAAATTATTAATTTATATATTAAACATCGCCTCGGTGGCCAAACGATCTAGTATACCGCTGCATTTCTTTACTTTCGATGGTCGCCTGTTGTCCTAAGCTATTATTATTTCTACTGTTATTTATTAAACTACTACTTGGCCGTGTTGCTTTATAGAAATGTTTCATGTAGATATCTTATTTGTGCTTCAAATTACAAGTTGTTCTTAGATACGGATATGGTAAATTTCTCATATAATTCAATATATATAAAGAGAACTTTCAATAGAAAAAACGATCATGAAGGTATTGTCTTTCATAAATCCTGTCTTATCACTAAAAAGGTTGAATATTAAAATGACAAACCTTCTTATGGTTTGTTTAGCATTTATATTAGGTTGGTTCAAATTCATGGCCTAAAACATTACGGTTATATGTATAAGGTTTTAGGACTTTAGGCAACAGAGTTCATTGCAAATGGAGAAAGTTTGCGTCAACAGTGCAACTTGTTTGTTCCAGCAAAATTGTTCATGTGGAATTGGCGCAGCACCTAATGTCTTCTTACACTTATCTTAGTCACTACTAAGGTTACGAAACATAAATATTTTACAAACTTTTATTGCTAGTTTTAAACTTTTATTGTTATGTGTGTTCTAATTTAGTAAGAGAATTTTATATTAGTTCCTTTCAAACGTTTCAGTTCTTATTGAGAACGTATATATTTAAAGAATATTAGTTAGTAAAAGACTATTCAATCATAATTTCGTGAGTTTTGTATATGCATATAAATTAAAAAATCCTTTAAAAAACGAAGTATTTTCTTAAATTCATGTAGTCGTCGCAGAGTTTACTTTCTCCATAAGAAAATCCGTTATCTCTCTCTCTTTTATCTATTTCTTCTTCTGTGTTATTTATTATACATTTGTATGGTGTTTATTGTAATCTTATTTATGAGATATATAGAATATTGTGTTTATCTGTGGCAAAGGCATATTAGTTACTCACTAGGTATCCTGTTGATCGCTCGGAGAGGTCGTAATACTCGGATTGTCCGTATCGCTGATAGGTTGATATTTTCCACGTTCAACGAATACTCCAAAGCCCTGAGAAAAAATATATAAGTAAGTACTTATTATACTCGTTGCGACTTAATCCCTGCTGAACCGACATCTTTAGTTCCCATTTAGTTTTCAAGAAATCTTTTGTAGTGACTGTCAATGGAGACAATTCTTTTTATAAGTACTGATTCTACATTAATAGAATGAATTGTTTAAAAGTTTCAAGAAGTGTACGTTTTACACATCCGGGGCATCCTTGTACCGGCTTACGTAGAATTTAATTATCCCGTTGGAATAAAATTTAATTTTCTGGATAAAAAGTACATTAAGTTCTTATTGTTTAATTAAGTTTCTTTTATTTTATATTTTACGAAACAAATTGTAAGATTAAATTTAGATTAAGTAGGTAAATTAATGGTATTGCTCTCCAGCGCTAAAAAACCTACACAAATACATAATTATTACATCTACAGAACTTTATAAAGTTCTGTAGATGTGATAATAATTAACAAAAAGAAAGAAAGAAATACTACAGACATATTTGTCTGTGGTATTTCTATCTGTTTTAATTTTATATGTGTAAATTCAAACCCTAAAAACGTAGTATTTACTAAAAATATTAATTGTATTTTTATTTATTATGTATAAACATTTCTCTTTAGTATAGGTAAGACTAAGCTTATATTTAATAATTTCTTACCCAGCCATCACGATGAAAAAATCTAATCTATTCCATGAATCCGCTAAATAAGTGCCATGTCCATACACACCCATTGCTACCATTTTAATTGTCATCTCCAGTGTAAAAAATGCAAATATTATGTCATCAAACACCTAAAAATGAAAACATCTATTAATTAAACAAATAACTGAGTACACAAATTAAAAATAAATGACCGTAAGTGGTAAATTTTGGCGCTTAAAAACAAAAGAATGTCAAACATACTTTTTATGACGCTATAAAATTGTTAGCGCCCAGAATTTAAGTCCTATTTCATTTTTAAAGTGCTAGTACCGGTAATGTGCCAATTAAAAGGAGGTCGTAATTAAACAAAATAATTCTGAATTTAATTTAAATAATAAAGAAAAATTATTACTCAATAAATAATGGAAATATATTACAATATACATATACAATACATATAACATATTTAAATAATTACATAAACGAAAATAAATTAATTAATATCTAATTATAATGACATGGCAAACTACTCGATAAAAATCATAGACAAAGAAACTTGCGCAGTAGACGTGAAATTATTTCTGCGCAGGTCACGTGATATCAAAATGGCGCTCAACTTAAATTTGTTGTATCTAATATAATGAAAGGTATACATATAACAGAACCTTCGGAATATCCGTGTAGAAATTAAACATTGTATTTGATATTTTTGGGACCGATCATATTTCATTAATATGTCTGCCGAAAATGATACATTGATGTTGTAATGAAAATTTCTTACCTGGAGAATTTTACATCTGTTTGTTACACACTGGTCGTCGACGCAGGGCTGGTACATGCCTAGGGTAACGCAGTTCAGAAGGATTACCAGCATAGATATCCTCTCGAACCATGTATACTGATAATTAAGGATATTATTGACATATAAATTTATAAAAATAAACAATAAAAAAGCAAATACTATCAAAAGACATAATATACTAATACATTTAACCGTGGTTGTAATTTCTATATATAGTCGTTTAAAATATTTAGCGTAGATCCATTTTTAACAATATTCGAAAGAAAATTTAGTATACGAATATGAGATATTATAAACAATAATTTAGCAAACAGTTAATTAATGTTTCATTTAGGTGAAAATCAGTCATTTTATTTATGGTCTTAGATGGAATTCATTTTCAGTTCTTATTTCACTTTTAAGGGTCTTCAATACTTCACAAATAGCTTAACATTTCTTTCGGAAATAACTCTAGAGATCTTAGCAAAATGACAAATATTAGTAGATTATGGAAAGGCGAGTTTTTAAATAAATATTGGTAAATAATAGCGTTACTTTTATTTATATTAGTTCATATTGTGACTTCTATTTTATAAAAGTAACAATAAATAATGTTAATAAAAATTTTCTTACAAAAGTTTTCATACTTCAGATTCCAACATCAGGAAAATATAAAATGAATGAAGGAACCACGGGGAACAAATAAAAAAGAACTATATTATTTTGCACCAACAATGGCTAGAAAGTAGCGTATTCATCGGTCTTTAAATAATAGCCTTACTAAACGATTCGCTTTTATTCTACCTGAAATAATAGGCGGCTTAATTCTTGGAATCATTGTCACATCAGTTTAATATGGCAATATTCATTACCTATTCTGAATATTAGGGTAATTACTATATTTGTATATTGTTTTATATAACTGGAATGGATAAAAGCTGTCGGTCCACTTGATGGAATGGCCTGAACAGCATTACGAATACCATGGCATCATGTGATGCCCGTAGTACCTACCTCTTATGCGTGGCTATTCCGGAGAACAATATTTAAAATAATTTATGCATTTACCTAATTATGAATCACCATACCGTGACTTGCTTATACGCACAGCTTAGAGTGAGATTAATACGTTCATACCATAAATCAAACTGACTTAACTTGGTTTTATTTTGCTTCGTAACCTTTTTAAAATTAATAAAAAATATATTGTATTTTACGACAGAAATGTTGTACTTGGTTTCTTTTTTACATAATTGTATTAAGCACATTGATTGCAGAATAAAAAGTATAATTCATTTTGAAATTAGTGTTCTTGTTGCTAAGTAACAGTTACATCTTACAGTTCCACGTAAGATATAACTGTGACTTGATAATGAGGAAAACAACAGTAAATTATACTTATTGCTGTATATCCACTGAGTATCTCCAGAAAATTTATATATCTATCAATGAATGATACAATTATGTATTACAGAGATATATGAACAATGTATTTTAATGAATTGGAATAGCATACTAGTTGACGGTCCGTGCTTAATGGTATGCGTATAACCTTATATACGCCATATGTACCGTAACCATATGTAACGCCTTTGATACTCCTGTGTTGCCACTCATGACGACAAAGATGTCATGCCTCTTATCCCTTAATTTTATTGCCTAATCTACCTACAAAAATAGCCTGAAATTCAAATAGCCAGAAGACTTATTATAAAATCAATCTTAATAATATCACGACAATGATAACATTCACTAACGGTATACGGTGATGGGGCATTCGTGAACGACGATAAGATGATGATGAAGTTAGTTCATTTAGCATATTATGACTAATTCATTAGAAATAACTATGACTAACTTTCCGGTACAGAAAATGCCGTTAAAATTCGCTCCTGGCATATCAGATTAAAATAGACAAATCAAAATGTGAGCATGTCCAATGCTACGTACACCTCAATGTCGGCAAGTGACAATGTCTCGGACTACCCCATGGTACAACCTGGTTTAGAAAGACAAAAAAAGGAAATATGTGTAATTGACAACACCTACAACCAACAAAAATAAAAGTTGTTACATAATTTGGAACACTAATATGTTGGTTATATCAAATAGGTCTTCACTCGGCACATACCGGGACAAAGTGTCACTACGCCAGTATTCTGTGGATACCTTTATGAATAAACATAATAATAATATTTTAACTTTTAGTAATCCATTATGTTAGCCAGGCAATGTTCCATAATCTTTCATATCCAATTTTCTTTACTCAACTACCGTTTAGTGTATTTCCGTAATTAGCTTTATCGATAAACTGTGAATGAATAGGAGCGGTGATCTTCGCCATAATAAGATATTAGTATTCACAAGACAGCTTGTTAATTCTAATCGAGGCTATTAGTAATTACTATCCGAGGACTTTGAACTAATGACCCTAGCAATTTAATACAGCTTAAACTGTACTTTGCAAATGATCAAGCTATTAATCAGTTGCCACAATTATGTACTCTATCGGCGTTATATATTGCTTTTGAAAATAATTTTCATATTACAGTCCACGACCCGTGATGGAAGTTGTTTGGTTTCAGGAATACAATTAATGAGAGATAATAAGGCTTATATCAGGTAATCTGCATGTGATTAAATTGCATATATATGCATACATATATAGCAATATAGTTTTCATATATTAACTAAGAATTATTAATGAAAACATTTGATGAAAGAATTAAACAATGAAATTGACTATCAAATGTTTTCAATAATATTATTGAAAACATTTGATAGTCAATTTCATTATATTATAAATATAAATCGTAAATCTTATTAAGATCTAAGTAGTACTTTCTGTATTAATCTTCATAATGCGATTAAAGTCGTTTTGCCGTGGCACGATAACGGAATTATAAAAAAGACCGAATTATTTGAAACCATGAAAGTAAACACCACAAGCATTGAAAAATCTATTTACTATTTGAAAGGTATATTATCTGTAGAGTGTATATTTGGTTAATATATAAAAAATCACACAGTTAAGAGCATTCGAACCAAGCTGGGTTGATTCACTACCTAGAAATAACATTCAAGAATCCAAAAAAATATCAATTTTGGTAATCATTTCCATTATATTATGCAAAACAAAACGGGGGAATAATGGATTTGCATACATTTCTGTCTCTTAAAGGCAGTAATGCTACCTTGAGTTCTGTTGTCGAAGAAGCAATAACTCGTTTTCCGAGTAGGCGTAGTAAAAATAAGTACCTAATGCTTATAAATTCTACACGAGGGAATTAGCATGGTACATACATTCTGTATGGCTCTACAAATACGTATGGCAGCTATAAATACATGTATTTGTAGGTAGGTTGATAATAATTGATTGTACCCACGGGAAAACATTGAATGATATGACGGTATGTTTGTATTCGTATATATGCTATTAGTATATAAATTGGGAATAATGATCTGTTCCGACAGCATAATAATATGCGGTTTACTAGAGTCGAGTGTGTTAAATACGCATGTATGTCATATGACGTTTTTCAACATACTTTATTTTGATACAACTGTGATGTACCTATACTGTTGCTTTCTCACTGGTTTACGTTTTTAAATCAGCGCGCTACATATTGACTAATACGGCGCGGCGGTAAATTCGAATTTTTTTAACTACACAGGGCATAAAAGCTTTCTTTAAATAAATTAAATATACCTTCACGACTGTAATGCTAGAAGACGTGAGATGATCACATTACTTGACGTGTTCACATTTATATTTAACATGAAAGTGAAACCATCTTTTCTTACAAACTAATATTATTTTGTTATTCAGATATATACCAGTCGAATTATATATTTTTGCTCTTAACAATATTCGAAGGTATGAGTGGTGGAGTCTAAAGTTGTGCTGTCTGTGTGTAAACAACTAAGCCACGAAGGCCTTATGTTTTACAGGTATTACATATGAAAGAATATATAAAGGACGGGGAACAATGATGGATAGACTGTGTGAATAATGATAAGTATTTATACTTGAAGAGTGAACTCGGGTATGATGGCTGATAATAAGGATCAATGGAAAAAGAAACTGGAAAATAAATAACGCGATAGCTAAGTAATGGGAGAAAGAAAATGCGATTATGTTACAGGTACAACATACACATTTACAAGTCAACATGTCGTATAGTAATAATAATATGAATTTAATTTCATTTATTTAGAAAATATAATTTATAAATATATTATAGATATTCAGAAAAGCATTTCAATGTTACTTAATTAGTTATCGGATTATTAGATCTGTTTTGAAGATCTTATTGGGAAAGTAATTGAATAAATTACAATTATGTTTAAATTATATAAAATCCCAAGTAAAATAGATATTCTATAATTTCCAAGAATTTATTTAGAAAACAGTCTTGAAGTAAAGTTGTCTAAGTGTCGAAAATTTGATATTATTAATTGCTAAGTTATTAAAGGTCTGATTGAAAGATTTTCTTTAATTTCTATTCTGTAATTTACGAGACAATCTGTAAACTTTATCTGTGAGTTACTATATTTGTAATAAGGCTGAATACGTGTACTTATTATAATTGATTATATTATATGTAGCGATGTTACATTTTATTTTTCGCTTGCTCTACTATGCAACACTGCTCGTGATCAAGGATATGATTCATAAGTGACTTAGTTACAATTATTTTATTTAATATGTATGTAAAGTGAGGGTTTGTTACGTTTCAGTCTGTTTTCAGTTCTCGTGCATTTATAAAAGATTGCCCTATTTTTTTACTTAATAACTTAAATATGTCGTGTTTCTACCTATAATCTAGAGTAATGAAAATACGTATATTTCAACTTGACTCCTAGATTATTTAAATTATTAGGTATATAATTATTTTTTATAATTCAAATGGTAACATTACGGAAATTCTACGGTAAAAAGCCTTTTATACTTCAATTTTATTTATCGATTATGTATGTATTGATATATCAAAAATACTGGAAAAGCGTTCCAGAATGTTTATTTTTGAATACTAACCATTCCACTGGTCACAGTTTAACGCATATCGGTTATTTACGACCACTCTTTCCTGTGATTAGTAACCAGTCGAT